AGTGTCCTGGGGGGCTGCCAGGCAGGAGGGGCACAGGGTGAGGGCGGGCTGGGGGCTTTGACCCTCAGAGAACCCCCCTTTGGGGGGGCTTCAGGCCGGGGAGCGGCTGCGCCCCTCAGTCAGGAGCTCCGAGACCTGAGCCACGGCGAGTCCTTCTCCTTCGGGTTTCGGTCCAGGTACAGACGCTTTAGACGGACGGCTGCTGACGGGCTGGTTGGAAGGCAACAGCTTCGAGGCCTGTGTGCAAGCGCCCCTTGGATGGGTGCTGTCAGACTTGGGAAGAACTGTGAATAAACTGCCCTTTGTGTGGCCCCTGGTGGTGGGTGGTTCGAAGCCGGGCTGGATGAGGCTTGGAGCAAGGTGGGAGGTGTCCCTGCCCATGACCCGTGGTGGCACTGGATGATCTTTAAGGTCCCTTCCAACCCAAACCATTCTGTGGTTCTATGTCAAGGTGTCATTCCAAGTTTTATTTTGTCGCTGGTATACTAGATCACATGCTTTCCCCTGCTTGTATTAAAAAATGACTGGAATTGTTCACGTGATCTGAATTCAGTTGAGCAGGCTAAAACTAAATTCCAGATACGTGGTTCCGTTGTTGAGTTAAAAATTTAAATGAGTAGTGATCCAAAAACACTTACAATGGGGGATGTGCGCTGTGCAGCTCAGATAAGCCACGCATTAACCAGCATTTCTGATGAAGAGCTAAACCCCTGATGTGCAGGGGTGTCTCCAAAGAAAGAACCATTGTTTGAGGAGGTTTCTGCTAACAGGGGTGTAAAGGGTTAAGAAATCCTGTGATAAGCTGACAGGACTGGAAAGCATTTTGGTGTTTTTTGGCAGGTCAATGTGTTAGAAGTGGCTGGTGGGTTTTTTTTAGATAAAGAAGAGAGGAAGTGTTTGCAGTCCCTAGAACTGGTGAAGAATTACTTCCATTAATTTTTAGAGTATTGACATAAGATAAAGCGAACGGTGATAGAATATTCCAGTGATGTAAATACTAACGGAATTACGTGAGGTAACAGAGTACGAGTACCTGGCGTTAGCTGGGGGATGACGTGTGTGCCGTATGGAGCTGATTAATGAAGGTGTAAATTACCTTCCCGGAGTAAAGCTTTTCTGAGCTCTCCCCGAGGTAGCACCACGCGGGCTGCTGCGCCTCTTGTCTCCGAGCGGGCTGGGACACAAGGGTGAATGCCAGCCTTGTCAGGACTAACTTTGCTTTTTGTGGCAAAGAAAATGATCTCGTGTTCTTTTGGATTTCTGCAAACACACATCTCTAGAACAACTTTATCTAGTCACATGTAGCAAAAGGCATTTAATGAATTCACCGAGCTGGCAACTTGAAATAATTTTTAAAACCTAGGATTTTACTGAACAGGTGTCTTGGGGTAAAGGAGGTTTAGGAATCAGTAAATATTCCACCTCCTTGCTGTAGTTCATGGCTCAGGAGAGAGGCAAATATGCTGACCCCTTCAGAAGAAAATTTGGAGTATCAGAAGATGAGTGATTTATTACAGAGTACAGCAGTGAGGCCCCAGGGTACTTCTTTCAGTCACTCTTAGTTCGTGGTTTTTCTGGTTCTGTATCTTTTACTGGGCAAAACTGTCAGCAGCAAAATACCTGTTTCAGAGCTCCACAATAGTAAGTAACAGAAGGTTTACTTAGAGTTGCAGAAGTCAAACTGTAAGGAAGGCAGCAATATTTTTTGCAAGACTGGTAGTTTGGATGTGTGGCTCCAGACAGTGGAAGCTTTTTTGATAGGAAGTGTTTCTTGGGATCTGCGTAAAGCGGTTCTAGGAGTTTCTGACTGGCATCAGCCTTGATTCAGGGATACATTTTTGCTTCCTGGGCAAAACAGAGGCAAGTGGCCCAAAAAGAGAAATCTCAGACTAACTAGTTCTGGGTGCATTCAGCTGAGATCCTCTGTCCTGGATGTGAATTTTTGTTTCCTCAGGCTTCCATCATGTTTGCCCAGTGCACCCAGAAGTGTGCGAGCTCCGTGCTGCTGATGGTGCTGCTGTACTGCATCCTTTCTCCTCCTGCACAAGCCAGCAAGGTGAGTGAACAGCTTCAGATGCAAGCACTGAGCCTTGTGTGTAGCACAACAGAAACAAAAATGGCAGAGAAGCAACTGTTTTTCAAGTTAAGGAGTGCTACAGCAGATGTGTATTTATCACACGTAGAGCTGTGAATGTACGTGACAGTGGCCTCGGCCCTGCCTCCTGCTGTGTTTTGGAGTTTGCATTTTAAAATTTGTTCTAAAAGTACCTGGTGTCTGGAGCAGAGGTGCTCAAGACATTTTAAAACTGTGAACTTACTGATGTGAAAGAAGCAGTGCAGGAAGAAGAGACATGGTGTGAAGTCCTCTCTCTCTTCCCAACCATTTGCCTTTTCCCACACCTCTGGGCAGTGAGGGCAGCAGAACTGTACACACGCATTCGCTCACTCATACCATCTCCTCTTGCTTCTGCAGAGCTTGCAGGACATCCGCTGCAAGTGCATCTGTCCCCCGTACCGGAATATCAGTGGGCACATTTACAAAAAGAATGTGTTGCAGAAGGACTGGTGAGTTGTGGATTGAAGCCCGAGGGGTTGGTCCATGAAAGCCAACGCTCCAGATTTTCCCGCTGATGCTAAGGAAATAATTCCCTGCCTGTGTGTTTGCAGAGGAAGGTGTTTTGTCAGGTGGCGTTCAACCCAGGTGAGGGGCGTTTTTTGAGCAGAGATTCAGGAATCTGGGACACATGATTTCTTAAGCCACAGCTCTCAGCAGATACAGGGTGTACCCTCCGGTCCCTTTCACCTGGACCAGATCCCTACAGAAGGAGCTTGGACAGTCTGTCCCAGGAACTTTGGGCTAGCTGAGCTGTGAGAGGAACTCTTAAAACCAGATCAGCATTATCTGCCTGATGGGAAGGCTGGGACACAGAAAAAGTCACCCCCCGTCCTTCCAGAGAGCATTGGTTTCACCATGTCCTGGTGCCGATTTTGGTTTCTTTGTGTTGCAGCAACTGCCTGCACGTCGTGGAGCCGATGCCGGTGCCAGGGAATGACGTGGAGGCATACTGCCTGCTGTGTGAATGCAAGTACGAGGAGCGCAGCACCACCACCATCAAGGTAATTGTGGGTTTGTTCCCTTTGGCTGGCTCCTTCTCCTGGCCGTGCCATGCCGTCCCAGGAACTGCCAGGTTCCTGGAGAAGAGCCCAGAAAGGGAAAATAAAACAATCAGAGCTAGTACACAGTGGTAGTGCCAGGGGCACTGGTTCCGAGGCAGGAGGGCTCCTGGCAGTGCAGAGCACGCTGCACGGAGCCCAGCCTCCTCGCTGAGGATGTGTGACAGCGCCAGGCACCCCTGACCATAGACCCATCTTGTTGCTCTCCTTTCACATGCAGCACATGTCCTAAATTGGTTCAATGTGGAGAAGATCAGCACAGTTTATGGCACTTACCTCTTACTGGCCTTCCTGCAAGTGCAGGAGAATTCCTAGTGAGCAAAATAAGAATGGGGGAAGAGATCAAACATCAGAGGCAGCTGTGAAGTGAGCTTCCTGGCCTCTGTGGTGCCTCTTGTCTACACTACTGATCCTTTTCCACTGTGCTGTCCGTCACTGTAGGTGATCATCATCATTTACTTGTCGGTGGTGGGGGCCCTGCTGCTTTACATGGCTTTCCTTGTGCTGGTGGACCCCCTGATCCGGAAGCCAGATGCTTATACCCAGCCCCTGCACAATGAGGAGGAGAATGAGGTGAGGCTGTGCTGCTGGTGTGTGCAGGGTGGCTGTGGTGACAGTGAAGACAGGGTTGTGGGACGGCAAGAGAATGGCTGACAGGGAAACAGAGTGACCTTGTGTTTGTCTCCTTCGGGAGTGTGGGACCAGCGCTGTTGCTTTTTGGGCACTTACACAGGGAGACATTTAGGCAGAAATTTGTGCAGATGATGCTGAAGCACAAGGAAATACGCCAAGTGCAAGTTCTGTATTACGAGCCCAAGATGAGACCCGTCCTCTGGGGCAGGGGGTGGCTTTTTGCCAAGTGGCCTGAATTTGGTGTGTCACTCTGGATGAAACTAAAAATCAAACTATTCCTGTTTGTGCAGTGTCCTCGGTGTAGTTGCTTGGTGGTGAGCTTCCAGGGAAGGGTGGGTTTAATTATTTGCTGAAGCACGGGGCTGGCCTCTCTTATAATGCTTAAAAGAGTCACCTCTGTGGTGCTGCGGCTGTTGTTTGCCTCTGCTCTGGGGCTGGGCCTTGTTGTGTCCGTGTCCTTGTTCCTTGTGCTTCTCCCCAGAGCAGAATTCCACTCAGATCCCATCGTTTTGGGGAACATTGGCATACGACATCTTGGGCAAGAAGATTAGGACCCAGCAGCAAAGAGAAGGCCTGTCTTTCTCACTCTCTCTGATTTTGGAGGAGGACAAATTTTTTCCTGAATTAAATTCCTGCAAGAAGCAGCGCTTTAGGGGGAATGATGAGGCCTGATTCCAAGGGGGGGTTTCAGAACAAGAGCACCCTGACTTGTAAATCTTTTCATCTTTTCCTGAGGCTTCCCTTCTCTTGTAAGGAAATGCAGGAGGCTGAGACAGGGATGGTCTCTCAGAGAGGGACCTGCTGGAGGCAGAGCTGATGCCTAGTGTGGAGGAACGGAGCGGCTGCACGCAGTGATGAGCTCTCACGCGTGATGCATCTATGGCTCGTGCTCTTGTTTGTGGGATGCAAGGGCTGTCCAGGACTTGCTGCCTGTTAGTGTAGCATGTGGCTTTGTGACACAGCTTCCCCCGTGGCTTTCTCAGTTCAGACGTGCAGGTTAGTGAGGCGCAGTGCTAGGCAGGGCTCTGTCCTGGGGCTGAGTTCCTGCCCGCGGTGGAGCCCCAGGGCTGTGCTTGAGCGTGTTCCTGGCTGCTGGGAGGAGAGCCACGCCGAGGCCTTCCCTAGCAACTGGTGACTCTGGATGCTGGTGATTAGTTCAGTCACACTTTGAGAAGAAAAGCGGTGATATTTGAAGATACTTCCCTCTCCTAGTCTCTGAGAGAACCACTGGATCAGACTGTCCCGTTTATACTTTGTTCTAAGTATAAACTGTTTGGCTGAAGTCTTTCACACGCTGGTGTAAGTGAGGAGTAGCTGCTCTGAAATGCACAGTCTGTCCATTGCCTCCTTCTTCCGAAAAAAGGAGGTCCTGCAGGAGGGGATGGATTGTATCCTAAAAGGATGCTTTAGCTCCACTGCTCCACGGGAATAATTCAGATTCAGATAGGCGAGGTTTATCTTATTCCAGTGTGTAGGATTGTAAACTCTTTGGGATGGGCCTTGTGGTTGCCTTGGTGTTTGTGTGCCATGATGGATCCCCATCCAGGAGCCTTGTGCCATCCCTGCAGTGTAAATGTGGTGGTTTGGAGCAGTTGGAAGAGCAGGGCCGGATAAAAGTCCTGCAGCACTGTCCAAGAAACAGATGAGCAGCTACCATGTAAGCTAGTGCACCAAGGGCAACGGAAATTGTTGGCCCAGTTTCAGCAGGGTGATGCAGTTTGTTTAGCAGTGCGGCTCCTTGCAGGCTCCTAGCAGTGGGTTTCCAGCAGAGGTTTAGAACTTAGCGCAGTTTCTCTCCTGGGGACTTTTTATTTGGGACATGTGACTTTACCACGTGCAGTCCCCAAGAGCAAGCTTTCCAGCTGGAGTTGGGGGGCTGCTGGTGAGGAGTTGGTCCTTCATCAGGACAACTCAAGCCCTGAATTGCTCTTTCAGTTGAAATTTCTCCCAGAGTTGAGCTGCCACTTTCTGTGTTCAGGCTGGGCATGCCCTGATCTCTTTCACTGTTTTTTCCTGTTGCAGGATGGTCGCTCCTTGGCCGCAGCTCCCACCTCGTCTGGCGCTAGAGCCAACACGGTGCTGGAGAGGGTGGAGGGGGCCCAGCAGCGCTGGAAGCGGCAGGTGCAGGAGCAGGGGAAGACAGTTTCCGCCCGCCACAAGATGCTGAGCTAGATCTTTGCTGAGCTACGTGGCACCACTTCCCAAGAGACGGGGTGACTCCTCTGGTCGAGACGGACAGCAGGTCACCCTTCAGGACATCGTGGTGTTTGACTGAACGCTCTAACCCTCTCTGATTTACCGTCTTCATAGAGAGAAACAGACCAAAATGCTTGCCTCTGGTTCTGCCCCTTGCCCTTTACCTCTCAGCCCAGAGGCTCCTCAACCCATCCCCGGCCGAGCTCTGTGCTGATCGTTAGCCCCGTGGCTGCATGTAAATAGTCGGTCGTACGCAGTGCTGCTGCCCCGGTTCCTGGGCTGATTGAGCTGGGGCCGCAGCTCCAGCGCTGTGCTGGGCTGGACCCTGCCGGCACCACGGGGACTGAATTCTCCAGCAGCCCGCCCCCGCATCAGAGACAGGGGTCTCGGTACGGAGCGCTGGGAGCTGCCTGAGTCTTCTTGGGATAAAAATAGTGGGATCATTGTTATGTGGGATAAATCATGCGGCACTCCTTCAGGATGAAGAAGCCTCCTCCTCCTCCAATTTGCACTGGTGTTAGTAGTGCTGACACAAGTGCATTGAAGGGGAAGGAGGAGGGGGATGCTGCCAGTGGTCAGCTCCTGCTTGCACTTACCCTGGTGTAAACTGAGCATATTTCCACTCTCTAGTGGAGTCTGCCTGGATTTACACCAGCATAACTGACACTGCGGCTTGTTTCTGTGTAGGTGAATATCCCTGAAGTGATCAGTACATTTATGAGTAAGAGACCAACAGGTAAAAGGTTAACTTACATTTATATCTTTTCCTGCTTTAGTAGTGGATAAAAACAGCCTGTGAAGAAAGCTTTCCCTTTTTACCCACGTTGGAAACCCTTGGCGCTCTCACAGTGGGGTCAGGGGCATCTGTGTCCATGAGAACTGGGACCAAGGCTTTACTGGAGCACTGCAAACACTTGTCTGGCTCTTGGGGCCCTGGAAAGGGGACACTTGTGCTACTCCAAACACTCCGAGAACTCTGACTGTACCTGGGCTGTGTGGAGGAGACTGAAGTGATTCTGCAGCATGTATATTGATCCCACTGAGAACATTTATAACGTCAGGAAGGCGCTGGAGGTTATCATGTAGCATCTCTGTATTAAATGCAGACAAAGATCCATGACATGGCTGGCTTTTTTTTCAGGGAAATGTCCCATCACGCCAGGTCCAGGGCTCCCAGCACTGAGCAGCTGCTCTCCAGGCCGCCTCCCAGTGCACTGCAGGCAGGTTGATGCAGGAGCTGGAGACCGAGCTGTGGTTGCGGCACTCGGGTGTTTCTGCACTGCCAGTGGGTCCCTGGCACCAGTTTGTGGCTGGCTGTGCTGGGAGAGCGACTGTCCTGCTCCAGGAGAGACGGGCTTCAAACCCCAGCACACCAGAGCCATCCTGCTTGGCACAATTTCGTGACAAATGGCTCTGAGCTGTCTCGCGGGAAGGCCAAGCAGGTCAGAATTCCTCCGTGTTTGTTGAAAGCCGAGCAATTGTTGCTAAAAGCCCAGCTGGGAGAGGCGCCGGTCCCTGCCTGGCACGCCTGTGCCAACAGCTTCAGTTGAGCTCCCCAGCAGGACCCAGCCCTCCAGGCTGATCCTGCCGGACAAATCCGACCAGAAGCTTTTTGGGGGCTTCGTGCCTGCAGCCTGCGTGTACCCCCGTCACCCTTCAGCACCTCGCTGGGCTGGAAAGTGCCCAGAGCTTCGCGTTATATCAAGGTCAGGTTTTCTGTTACCCATCCTTGTTCCATGGTCCTTGATCATTGGACTTTTCCTCCCCTTTTAGAAACCCATTGTCCCTGTCCTTCCCCTCAGGGATGCAGGGTGTGGTCCCTGGAAACTGCAGCCCCCACCCCAAGATGAGGAGAATCTGTTTGAAGGGTCTGAACAGGAGCGGTGAATGGCTGAGAGCTGCCGTGGCCGTGGCAGGGACTGTGCCGCAGCAAAAAAAAGGTGCCCCTCGGACCAGCCCTGAGACATCGGGCATCACCCGTGGTGGGGGTCCTGCTCCCAGCAACAGGACCCTGCTTCCCTGATCCTGGAGGGTGAGCAGCACCCCCACACCTCCCCCGGCCCCTCCCAGGGACAGCTTGAAAATGGGACAGGAGAGGAAAAAAAAACGCAGGTTAGAAATCACGAGTTGGTGGGTTGGAAAACTCAGGTGGGGAGGGGGTGGTGTGGAGAGGTTGCAAAGAATGCCACTGCCTGGTTAATTATTTGGTTTGTTAATTAGATTGTTAGCCTTGTCCTGTACACCGTTCTCCCCAGGAGGAAATGTTTGCTGCTGCCCAGCCTGAAATTCCCAAGCCTCTGCTCCTCCCCACACCCCTGGCGTTGCTCGCTGGAGCGTCCCCCAGGCAAGGTGGCCCCGCTCCTGGCCCCATCCCCCGGCAGTGCCTGTCATCCCTGCGGAGATGGGAGCCAGCAGAAGTCAATAATTTAATTCCTTATCAAAAAAGGAAGTGAGAAAAATAAAAGACCTCTTAGAACAAAATCCATCTGCTTTGGCGACCTGCCACGTCCTCAGTCAGGTGTCCGCCGTGGTCCAGATGTCGATGCTCTGGATGATGAGCCACTCGCTCTGGTCCCGCGTTACCC